ACTCTAGGTCATACCCACAGGGACTGGGAGTTAGGACCTCAGCATTTTGGGGGGATACAATTCAGTCTATAACACCCTGGCCCATTGCTTTACATTTCTTTATCAGAGAAATGTTAATCTTCTTTAGCCCAGGTTTTTATTTTTGTTGTTGTTGTTCTCTCTTTTTAAAATTGTATCACATCCATGTGGTGAACTAAATAATAAATTCACTACTCTATTGCACTCTTTTGTTCCAAAAAAAGTCCTATATGTTCAGGACTTCATGTTTGTCTTCATTTTTCTGGCCCAAAGACTCTTCATCTGATTTTAGCCTTATGTCTATAATCTATTCTAAGAAACTTTATAAACAATGGCATCGCTGTTGTTGTTCTATACATCAAAAACATGCCTTTCATTAATATCTACCATTTTTAAGTTTTTTATTGTATTACTTTTTATTGAGATGATGTTGATGCACAACACAGTATATGATTTGGAGGTATATCATACTCTTCAAATGTATGTCCTGACACCATGCCTTATCTACCTTTTTTTAAGTACTGTGCACTAGCTTTGCTCCTGTCCCATAGTTAAAGCATGTCTCATGACCAAGACTAGAGTCATTGTGGGAGACAACTTCAAAATGTTGGATACCAAGAAGATCACACCTCTCTGTTGTCATTCAATTCATTCATTCTATAGACTTTATGAACACCTGCTATAAGCAAAGCTTTGGGGTAGGCACTGAGGATACAGAGTGATCTCAACACTTGGAATTTATATACTAAGACTAATACTCAATGACTAGCACAGTCAATGTAAGTAATACCAGGATTTGTGGAAGGTCCAGTGAGGCAGGATGGGCTTGAGAGGCCTCTCTGCATTCTTCACCGAAAGAATGGCTACCTTGCTGCTCAGGATTATCTATCCATAGCCTCTTCTCCCAAAAGGATAATAAAAATCTAAAACACAGAAAGAAAAGTTCAGATTTTTTCTGTGTATATATTTTGAAATTATAATAGAAAAAATTCCTGTATTTCTTTGGTAACCTGTAAATACAAACATGAAACTGTGTGAAAATAATGTTTACGCTAAATATTCAAAGTTGAGAAGAGCAGTTAAATGTGTGATTCTTGGACCTCCCCCCATTCATTTGTCTATGGGATAAACACTTGTTTGTAACTTCAAACTCATACTTGTGCAAATTACGTAGAACAAAATTCCAAGTGAAAGTCTTTTTAAAAATAGCTACTTAAAGTTTCCATATGAAGTATATTTATTTTTCTCTAGAATTAGGACAGATTGCATTGGGAGCTCAGTCTTTCATACAGAGGGGAGTGAGGAATAGAGTTGAGCTTTCATTTTCTCACAAAAGGCACAATGTGAAGCGCATCTGTGAACATTGCATAATTTGTTATGTTCTACAAAGAGGTGGGTTTTTGTTATACACATACCAAAGCTATTTGGTACTGTTTCACCAATGATCTCTATTCAGGTCCAGAAAAGAAATTGGCCTCAGAAGAGTGAAAGGAGAGTAAATTTTTCTTTAAAAATTAGATACAGATTATCACTTCAAAATGCAGGAGGGAATTTTACAAGTGACGATGCACTGATTAGCTTTCCAATGGACATCCAGTCCTTTATGGAACACATACGAGCTGTGGTCAACTGTGACCAATGTGGTTTATTACTCTCCAGAAGAGTTGAACTGAGATTACCCATCTAATTTAATTGAGAAATGTTGGGTGAACTTGAACTGTTTCATGGACATGAATGACCAGAAAATTTATTTGATAAGACATTAAAGGCTGAATATGGTAACTATCTCTTTGATGGTTTGATACAGTCATTTCTCTAGTTCATTAGCATTTCTTTCATATATTTTTTGTTATTTCTCTTCGGTGATTATATGAACAGCCTAAATGAAAGAAAAAAGAGGGTGGATTTCTATACAATATTATTACCCAAAAATAGAAACCTTACCTTTATTGGTAAATATGTATGACAGTTTTAATGTAGTTTACATGTGAAAAGTGACATGAGCTTTCAAGTAAAGGAAACTAACAGTAATTAAACTGTAGGAAAATGAATAAGTTCACTGTTTTCATGTGATAGTGCCTAAATTATTTTTAACTATTGTCTTCTGATTTTATTAAATAAGACCACAGAGACATCCAGAAGTTGGAGATGTTATCACCAACCTCCTTCGTATTTCCTTATAAATTGGACAATGTGTACTATCCTTGGTGTTATCTCTGAAATATTTATGGTAAATTCATAGATTGGCACATGAAGTGGCAGCATATGATGAAGGTGTTTCTCTCCACAGGTCTGCTAACATTTAAGGTGAAATTTTCTGTGTGCTCAATGAAAATGCTAAAGTGTAATTTGGATATGAATTATTTTTTACTGTACTTCAGTGGTTTATCTTTTAAACTGTTCACAGAAACTCTGATATAGAAACCCTAAGAATAAATTACAAAAATCATACTTCATGTTACTAGTGACTCTTTAAATGGAATTTTTCATTGAAACTTTGTCATTAAGATAGAAAGGCCTTTTGGTTGTGCCCATACAAGCATAATAAATTGTATATGTTTGTGATACTGAATGACTCTTGCCCATATGCTGCACTGCAAAGCTACATGAATGAGGCATTTACCAAATCAGGCCCACCACATTAAACAGAAAAACAATCTTTATTCATGGTAACTTATCAGTTTCAATTAATCAACCTTAACAATGGAAATTCTGATGTGTTCAAGCAACTTGAAAGCAATAGGTCATCTCCAGGGCAGCCATGTTGTGTCTTTGTGCCTAAGGTTTCAAACAAAGCAACATCTCCAATAAATATACATACATAAACATATATACATGTGCATATATATACATACCAATGGATGGTTACAGTTATGTCTTGTTGTGCCAATAAAAATGCACGCTTATTGTTTATGATTTTTTATCATAGCAAATGTAATTGTTTTCCTTCAAGTATTACTTTTTGAGCTCTGCAAGTTTAAACAAAAGGAAAGAAATTTCCATTGGATGACCATCCTTTCAGTTTCTGTGCTGCTATGTGAATAGCATTGTGCAAACCATTCCAATGGTTTTGAAAAGGGGTAACCATTGGTTTGATTTGGTTACACGGTTTAGTAAAGAGCTCCCTCCCACTGCCTTAGGGTCTGTGAAAGGTCTGTGACCTGTTTAGAACTGCCAAGTGAAATGTCATGTCGCCCCTCCCAAATGGGAGTATCTGCATTCATTTGATCAGTATAAAAAATGATTGGGGATGGCGAGATCAGTGCTTTTGAATTGCAATTTATAGCAGTTTACAAAAATGCACATTGTTGGAAAAGAAAACATGGAAGTGTTTCTTTCTAAATTGCATTACCTGTGAAATGTCATTAGTCTTTTAAGGATATTTACATCCTTTTTTTTATTATTTAGAAGACTTATATTAACTAAAGAAAACCAGAATTTTATTACATTATGATTTTTTAACTTTTATTTTGATTTTAATAGCACCTATAAGGAAAACGATATGTCTGAATTCTTAGGATAAACATAATTTCTTCTTTCCCTTTATTAATCCTCTAAGATAATCTTTGCTATCAGGTTGTATTGGCAGAAGATTCCCAATTACCTTTTCCAGATTATAGAGGAGATTCATAATTTGGTAATTGCTTTGTCTGATGATTTCTAATAGAGCCTGAAATCCCAGGCATACTTCACTCTACCAGGTTTCCATTATTGCGTCAAGGGTTTTACTACTGAAACATCAGATGAATTCCTTCTCAATTATGGTACCCATATGCTCAGCTGCAGGTATGCATAGTTTCATAAAAGGAAATGTTATTTATTTTCATTAAATGTGAAAAATAACAGTTGAAATTAATCCCAAAAGTTAAGGTAGGCTGTCAAGTTCATAAAGTCTTAATGCAGCCACCCGGCTCTGCAGGGAGCAGAAGACAATGCCCTCTATACTATGTCTAGAAATCTCACAAACCTCATTTCTCCCCTTAGACAGTGGGTGGAACCGAACATTATTTTGAAGAATTCGTGTTTGAGTAAGAAAAGTTACCTTGGGAGAGGGACCCCAGAAGGTCCCTGGTGGATACTTGACTAGAATAAGAAAACCCATGTTTGAGAAAAGATTTGACCCAGATAGACTCCCAAGCACTCCACTTTGAACCTCCCCACCATTGAGAGCTGAGGTTGTCACGTTTTTATCTTTGTTCATGTTAAGCCTTGGAATGACAGCCTGGCTCTGTGTTCTGCTCTCCCACTGCCCTGGCTGTAAGTGTCCACATTGACACCTACCGGTGACCACAGGCTGCAAGGCTTTGTTGACTTCTTCACGCTCCTGGCTGTCACTGGGATTAGCTCAGGGCCTTTGTTTCCCTTCAAAGCTGGAACATCACATCCCATGTTGTGACTTTGCTGTCTCAGACCCCCAACGCTTTCCTCACAATTTATACACCAGGTAAATGTCCCTCCCCCTACAGAGCAGAGAGCCCAGCTTGGGTGTGGGGTGTGATGAACCTCCCCTTTCCCAACTTTAGAACCACTGTCAGTTCTTTTTATTTCTTTCTTTTCACTCCCAATTGTCTATTTCATATGGAAGAAAGAGAGGAATGCAAATGGACGTTTAAACCTTAGACCCAAGGACAGGACCCAAGGACGGGGCCATCTCTCCTATTCTTTTTCATTATCTTCCTGTTAGGGAGGGGACTCTCAGCAGGTGATGTGCTAGTGTTAGTCGTCAGTACCTAAGACCATTCTGCAGTCCAGGACAACAGGAAAACTGTCCCAGAAAAAAAAATTGCTTGAGGTGCTATTTTGAAGGCCAAGGAGGCGCTAGCCACCTCACTCTCCTCCCCTCACCACCTCTTCCCCAGGTTATTGAGGAGTCCCCCAAGCTGGGGTGGACCTGAGATGATCCAAGACAAGGTTGAGGAGCGGGGAATGGCTTATGTACAGTAACTAAAATTTCACATCTATTCATCTTTCCATATTTTTAGTGAAAACGGTCGAGAAACATTCGCCGAAGAACATGCTGGTACCCCGGAGCTCCGCAGGGACTGACGAGGATGGCACTCATTAACCGGGAACACTGAGCTGCGCCCCGCGGGACCACAGAAGGAGGGCCCTCACCAACTGGGCGCGAAGCCCGCCTCTCTGGCACGGGTACGATCTTCTACTAGGCATTTCTCATACAACTGTTGGGCCTCACTGGGTGATGTATAGTAACTGGAGCAGCGCACTTGAGAAACTCGAGGCGCGCCCTTGGGGCGCATCTTTCCGAGCCCTTAACTGCTGGCGCGCAGACCGAGGGGCCGCCAGATCCATCCTCGCACTTCCTCAACTCGGTGGTGTGCCCCAGCGCAGACGGTTCCAGAAGGGACGAACTTCAATTAAAAATTTTGAGGCACTAAACTGGTTTCACTCCCTCTTTAATCCGTTGGGTCTCTATAAAACAAAGTCACGTCTGCTTGCCTTCTCATCCACCAGTTAGTTAATCCCCATGACGGAGAACCATCCCCCCACCACCCCCTAAAGGGGGTTTAAAAGTCGTAAACAAGTCTTTCCTAACTCAGGAGACTTCTGCTGCCCAGAAAGGATCCAGACCAAGATTCAGCATCTGTTCTTTCCCGCATGACAGGTACCATTTCCTGAAAGGCCGCTCTGCTTTCTTGTGGGCGTAATGTTCTCGTCGCCCCTTGTTCCCCTAACTACAAGTTAGGCCCTGTCTGTATCCCAGTTTCAGAATCGTAGGTTCTGGGTTGCAGATTTCTAAAACCATTTATTAAGTCTCGGGAAATATATGTGTGGCAGCACTCACATAAAGCTGAGGTGCTCTGGTGCAAAAGGAAGCTAGAGCGGCGATTTATTTGTGCGTAAAAAGCACAAGCTTTAATTGGAGAGAGACGTGTTATTTTCAACACAAGTACATGGGGTGGCATAGCGCTGTGGAGCATTATTCGAGCTTCATCTACTATGCACTATATGCCACCGTCTCCAAAGGAGTGTTGCCCTAGAAACTTGTTTTAAATCTGCTGCTATATATCAACACCTTGTTTTAGCAGTCCTTGGCTGAATTACAGTTACACAGTTTGGCGCTTCTTTCAAATTTCCTCCCATCAGTTTGGCTAAAGAAAGGAATTTTTCTCCTTTAGAAATGAATTGGCTTAATTAGTAAGTAGATTAATGGCAATTGCTGGTGAGTTGGTTTCCAGCAGAGTTTCACCAGAGAGGGTTAATCGGAGTCAGGTTTGGAATCTTTCCCAGAACTGGCTGCCAGCCATTTCCACCAACCAATCAACCCTACAAGAAACAGAGGAAATGAAATAGAATTTATATTCTCTGTGCTATTATCCTAGACGGAAATTCCTTGGAAGCAGCCTTGTGATGGGGTGCCGCACAAACTGTTTGATTTCAGAATTTTAACAGAAACCTTGAAAAGTCTCACCTTCAAGATTTATCTGGGTGCCAAGGCAGAATTTCAAATTGCACAATGAGTGTCTCCAATGAACATTGAGGGCGCATTGGAAATGCCTTGGGCTCCTAGTCAATTTTAGGTTTAGAGAAGCCACAAAACCTCCCAAGTCCTCCCTAAGTCGGCTATCTACCAGAAGCCTCCAAAAAAAAGTTTAGTTGTACGTTTTGCAGCCTTTTCACTTATTTTTCCATAGTGATAAAAATGCATTCATAGTTTAACTTGCAGCTGCATTTGTCTTGCAAAAAAAAAAAAAAATCCCTGCTGAGAAATGCATATAATAGGAAAAACAGATCGGCTGGACAGCAGTGTAATTAATGCCAGAAAGGGCTGAGGCCGGTTTCATAGTTTGTCTTTTGAGGATATCAAGACGAGACCTGGTGAAAAATGACGCATGCTTTAGCATTTCAGAAAGCTGGCAACTGGCAGTGCTTTTCCTTTTTTCTTTGACTTTCTGCCTCAGAACAAAGAGGTCGGCAGAACTAGCTAGGTTGTAATGAGTTCTATGTCCCTAGCACATTAAGTGCATCATGGAAACATATTGTATCGAGATAGTTTGGAGGAGAATACTGGGGATGAAAGAGAATGGGTGCTTTGATCAGCTCCCTGGGGTCCTGAGCGCGCACAGACTGACTTGCAAGGAGTTATTCAGCTCCAGCTAGACACACTTACAACACCATTCAAAGAAATTTGCATATCTGTAATTTATCACATTGGTCCACAACATTTTTGCAAGGTAAATAAAAGTTGGCTAAATAAAAAATATCAATCATCGCAGATCTAGAGGAAACTGTGACTCCAGTCGCTCCATTAAAAACACAAATATGTCCATAAAACATTACTATTTAGAGGCCGACTTTATTTTAAAGTGTCCTTAGGGCAACAGGTTATGCGCTGACAAAGACAAGAGTGGCCACAATTTCTTTGCACTTCTGCTTGAGTAGAGTGTATCCGCTGAATAAAAGCAGAAAGCTGCTGAATGAGATGTGTGTGGCTATATCCAGCCAGAGTTATGCAGAGAAAAGTTAGAACACACTTGGAGGAGATGGGAAAGAGGACGCAATCTCCTCGGCGCCTGCAAGTGCTAGGTTAAGTCTTATTTCTCCATTGCTGATTTCATTGCCAAGCTTTGGTTGCCGGATTTTGAAGCTCAAGAGGATGAAATGTCCCCACACTCGGTCAATAGGCAAACTTGCTTTTGAATGCCATATGAGAACAAGTGAAAACTTAACAGGCAGGCATTGTGCTGAGTTTTTAAATAACCCAGTTAAACAGCAAACAAGAATCTTCAACTTGACCTTGGAAAAGGCTGTGTGCCTGCAGATAATCTATCAAAGAACTCTGGATGACAATGATATATTTCAAAGTATTGTCAGATGAAAAGATTGATAAATTTGCTGTTGCAAAGAGAGAACTTTGGAAACAGGCAATTGAGTGGGCTGCCTCCACTACCTCTTCTGTCCTTGTCACCCCATCCGGACCCCCGCCACCCCTGGCCTTGGGGGCAGCTCAGTGGAAGAAGGCCAGTAAATCAGCACTGTAATATTTCTTAAGGGGCACGGAAAAGCTGTGAACAGTACTTCTCATATTAAACGCAATATTTCCTTGCTTTCGTGGGGAACAAAAGTCATAGCAAGACGTCTTTATGGCTAATTCAGTCAAAGGCACATCTCTGGTTCCCCCCGCAGAAAGGTCAGTGTCGTTGTGTTTGGTCCACCGAGGGGGTGTTTTCACACTGAAAACTGAGCCAGCTGTCCCTGTCATACCCTCACCATTGGGGAGCGCACACTAGCCATGGTTATTAGGCACATTCTACACCTGCAAAATATACCGATTTCCAAGACTTTTCAAGGATCCCCCCCCCTCCTGGTTCTCATGCCCCCTCCTCTTTCGTCTACTAAACTTTGACAACACAATTCAAGCCCTGGATGAAAGCGCTTGCACGCAAGAGGGAAGCTGGAGAGGGGGTGGCTCAGCTAGCGTCTCATGGTGTCTATTGAGCAGCCATCAAAGAAATGAGGCGTCAAGCATGTTTTCAAAAACTTCCAAATAATTGCTTAAAGGGATCACACATTTGCTATTGCCACGAATGCTAATTGTTCAACCCAAATATTTAATTTTATGCACCAGTGTTAGGTGTGGGGTTGCAGCTCGGCATCTTTCATTTAGAAGTGGCTCTTAAATTCGTTTTTATACTTAACATGGAACTAACCAACATCAGAAATTTTTTTCTGAGTTGCACGAACATAAGTACTTGTTTTTAAAATCCAATTACCAACACACTGCTGCTGTTCACTTCCCAACGCTTTCCCAAATGAATTTCATAATAAAACTCCTAGAAACATCCACTAGCAAGCCTTATCACAGGAATCCAATTCCAAAGGCTAACACTCCAGAGATAGGTGAATGACTAGCTTTTGGGGGGAAGCTCAGCAGCCCAAACAAGAAAGGTGCCAAAGGGGATCCTGTGCAGCTGCTGAGAAGAAACTGTACTGCTAAAAGCTAAAAGTAATTCAAAAAACACTTTGAGAGTGAGAATGTCCTGGTGCCAATTCCTCTAAGACAGGAATGTGAAAACAACTGTCTCTAGGAGCATTTAACACCGGCTTGAGGGTGAGAGAGAGAGACTAAAGATTCCCCTCCGCCTACGGGGGCGGGGGTGGGGGGGTCCCGAAGAGGAGAAAAGAAAGCATTTAATTAATTAGCCCGTGGTCTGTCTCTGATCCCAATCTCTGTCTCATCCTTCCACCCAAGTTGCAAAGAGCTCCATGAGAAGTCTCCAGAGTGGGCAAAGTGCAGGCTGGTCCAGGACGCCTCGAGGTCCCAGGACCCAGGCAGGAGTCAAGCACGCTGCACGCCACAGGAGGCTGAGGGCTGGGGGTGCCTCTCACTAACCAGGAACCCTAAACCCTTCCCTGGCGCCTAGGAGCCTCCGCACAGTCCGCCACCATCAACCAACGCGCCGCCGCCTCTCCAAAGCGATGTCAGCGCCAACAGGTTGTTTGGAGCAGGTGCAGATCCCCAGAGAAGGGATTGGCTGGGAGCTGCGGGTATTAGCCAAGGGTCAAAGCCCCCCAGAGAGGCCGGGGTAGATCTCCAGGGTTCCCGAAAAGATGGGAGGGTTAGAAACCCTCGCCACTCCACCGCCGCAGCCAACGCTGGCGCCGCGGCGGCCCAGAGCAAAACTAGCTCGCCACAGCCTGCGCCCCGGACACTGGGCCCTCTGCAGGCGGCCGCCCGAGGGCTTCCCGCCCGGCCAGAGGGCATCGTTGCCCCGTGCCTCCCCAAAGGAAGCCTTGGGTCCCATCTCCTGGCCCCCTCAGGCCGTTCACCCCCCCTCTCAGCTCGTCGCTTCCTGGAGCCCCTCTTGGAGACTTCCATGCGCAAAGATAGAACTGCGGAGAGCCGGGCGCCTGGCAGCCACTTCCAGCTTCGAATGAAGACAGACAGCACCCGAGCACCGACTACCCCGGGAGCAGGGGCCAGGCGGGCCTCCCGGAATACTCATCCGACTCCACCCCGACTCTCGGGAACCCTGGGAACGCCGAGCAGCGGGCGGGGCGCATGCGCGCCTCCGGCCAGGGTCCCTCCCCAGCCCGCTGAGTTTGGGGAAAGTTTGGCGAGGTTTGCCTCGGCGGCGGCGGACGCCCCCCAAACCCGACTGCTCTGGGCATGTAACCAGGAGCCCCCCGGAGTCCCGGGAGCCGGCTCGGCGCGGGCCCGAAGGCTGGAAGGCGGCAGAAGGTGGGGAGAAGGAGGCCTTTTGTGTGTGGCACAGGAAAGTCACTTGCGCACAAACGCAGCAGCGCGCTCAGCCGCAGCCCCAGCCTCCTCTGCAGCACCTCCGCCTCCGAGGCGCTTCATTACAGCCGAGCCCTTCCCCCCGCCTCCCCCCGGCCCCGGCCTTTGTTCGGCTTGAAAGTAATGCTGT